AGGGGGGGGGGGCAGAGAGTCAAGTCAACACATGCTGAGGAGGCGAAATCCGGAACAGAAACTTCGCCAGACAAAGGAAGCCGCGCAGCCCAAGGCGAGCGGCCTGGCTGCCGGCCCTTATCTTAGTCAAACAAAAGGCGACGTGATCTTTGGTCCGAAGGAGGGTCTGATCTGATGGGGAGCCCTCCTGCCCCCCCCCCAATGCTTTTGGGATTAGATGCCGCGCAGCAGGTACGATGGCCTTGCCAGCATCCAGGCCTTCGAGTACTGTTGGCCGGCAGAGGCTGCCTCCGACCCACTCCCCTACACCTAGTTACCGAGGCCTGGACTGTATCACTACAGGCCGTGTGGGTCACGTTCTCCTGTTCCCCCTAGGAAAACTCCCTGCAAATAAAAACGGCGCTGGGAAGAAAGGGGATGTATAGCCCTGCCCTTCATATGCTGTTTTGCCCTTACAGAGAATTTAGAAAAGTAAAAGGGCCTTAAACACTGTGACCCTTCCCCAGCCGTCCATTCTCCCACCTCAGCAACCTCCAGGTGGTGGCTGGAGATCTCCTGGGATTAGAACTGATCTCCAGGCAACAGAGATCTGTTCACCTGGAGAAAATGGCCACTTGGAAAGGTGGACTCTGTGGCATTATGCCCCACTGTAGTCCTTCCCCTGCCCTCTTCAGGCTCTTCTCCCCAGATTTCCAGATATTTCCCAATAGGGTTGCCCCCCCCCCCGGGGGTGGGGGTGTCCATGATCCGCCAGTGGGGAAGCCCTGCCCCAGAAGAGCCCTGTCCCAACGGGCATGTCGCCGGGGGGATGCTCTAGCATTTGGGCAAAAACTCTGGTGACCATATAGAGCTTTTTGCCCAAAGGCTAAAGCATTCCTCCTGATGTGCCCAGCGCACATGCCAGAAGACTTCTGCATCAAGACTGGAACCCCCACACACACACACCAGCAGCCAGGTAAGACCTGGCTACCCTATTTCCCTACCTGGCGCTGGTAACCCTAGTTGATCACCTCATGTCTAGACCAGGCATTAGTCAGGGTGCCCCCTCATCATTTATTTACTTCATTTTTACCTTCCTCCCCACTGGGGAGCCAGGCCAGTTTACACCATTCTCTCCTCTAATCTGGAGAACCGGGTTTGATTCCCCTCTCCTCCACATGAAGCCAGCTGGATGACCTTGGGCAGTCACAGCTCTCTCAGAGCTCTCTCAGGCCAACCAGTCTCACAGGCAATCCTCCCTCTAAGCTGTGGAGTCTTGTGAGCCAAAATTCTACTTTGGGAGCTACTGGCCTTAAAGTTGTGAGCGAGCGATTTGACTACTGCATAAATTAGTTTGCTCTGGAGCCATCCTTCCTGAGCTAAGACAAAAATGTGTGAGCCGGAGGCTAAAAGACTGTGAGGTAGCTCACCCTAACTCAGCTTAGAGGGAACACTGTTCATAGGGTGTATGTTGTGGGGAGAGAAAGGGAAGGCAACTGTAAGCCACTCCGAGACTCCTTCGGGTAATGAAGGGTGGGGTATAAAACCAATTCTTCCTTCTTCTTCTTACAACAATCATCTGAAGAAGTGAATTCTGAAAAAGTGAGCAGTGACTCATGAAAGCTCAAACCCTACCACAAATTTTGTTAGTCTTTAAGGCGTTCCTGGACTCTTGCTGTTTTCTACTGCTACAGATAGACTAACACGGCGACCCATCTTGAACAACCCTCAGAGGTAGGTTAGCCCAAGGTCACCCAGCGAGCTTTTGTGGCCCAAGTGGAGATTCAGACCCAGGTGTCTCCCAGATGCTAGTCCCGCACTCTTAACCACTACACCACACTGGCGCTCCTCTTGGTTGCCCGGTTTCAACTGGGTGGCAGGAGAAGGCAGTACAGGGGCTGGGCTGCAGAATAAATACACCGGAGAAAGAAGGCCAAATACTTCAGGCTCCACGCTCAGGCTCAGCAAATCAGGCAAAAAAGCTTTTATTATCGGAAAACAACAAAGGCAACCTCAATTAACAATGCTTCGAGAAAAAAACATCCTTCAGGGGGTTGCCAAAATACAAAAAGTAATTAAAATCAACTAGAACTTACAATAACTCCACAAGGTAGGAAAACATCCTGCCCACCAGACGCGCGTTATCTTCCCCCCACACCTTTTGCTATTTTATCTATTGAAGGACCTGTTAAGACGCTACCCCTCCCTGTCTCTAGTGCAGCTTTCCGTTAAGAGATCTCAGCTGTGCAGCTCTTGCAAAGCTGAGTACCGGACAGTTCCTGTGAAGACTTGCAAGGTTGATCCTCCCCCTCCTGCCGTCCTTCAGTTCTACTGAGTTGCTGTATTACAGCCAGGTTGGTGTCTTCCTTACACCCCCCCCACGCAGAAAGAGAGTGTACCTCCATCTCACTTTCTGCGAGAGAGAAAAAAGGAAGACATAAATTCAAGCCAATCCCTGTTATTCCCCATTTTATCTACTGGGCGTTGGCGTAACATTTTACTCCGCTTCGGCAAAGCACCTTGAGAGGGAGTCAGCTAATACATTTTCTTTCTCCTAATATGTTTCACATCAAATGAGAAATCTTGTAGGGACAACGCCCATCTCAGAATCCTGGCGTTAGTTTCTTTCATCTTGTGGATGAAGACCAATAGACTATGATCGGTCTCCAACTGAAAGTGTACCCCCCTCAGATATGTCTTAAGCTTATTTAGCCCCCATACCACTCCCAAAGCTTCCTGCTCGATAACGCTGTATTTCTGCTCTCTGGGCAATAGCTTGCGACTCAGGCATACTACCGGATGAAGGCAGTCATCTTGCCCTTTCTGCAATAGAACCACGC